GATGATCTGGTAGCCCACAGGAACAACGTGGCTTCCCACTGATGCCATGGGTCCCTGTGCCACCAGGCTGCTGGGACCCAGCCATCCCAACCCCTGGCACTGGGAACTGAGGGGGTCACGGAGCCAGCATGAGCTCTGGGGTGGGGGTAATGGGGTGCAAAAAGGGAAGAGCACGCAGGGGGGCCGTGGTCTGTGGGGAGGGGACATGAGCTGGGGGAGGAAGGCAACACAGGGCTGGGAAAGGAGGAACAGGGCTGGGGGGGTCAGGGCAAGGGAGGGGACTGGGAGTGCAAGGGGACACTGAAACGGTGGCAAGGACTTTTGGGGACTGTCCCTTACTCTTTGCCCAGGGTGGTCTCAAAGGGCAGCGCAGAAGGTGCGTAGCAGAGAACAGATGCGCTCAGCACAGGGAGCAGGGCCAGGCACTGGCAGCAGGCTATTTGTGGGGTCCTGCTGCTGGAGGCAGCCCCTGGGAACGGGGGTGCACCCCAGGAGGAAGAGGAGGAAGGGAGCTGGAGCAGGGCTCAGGGCAGAGGCAGTGGGGAAGAAGGGAGTGCTGGAACAATGCTGGGGCAGCAAGGCCACCCCTGCGCATCACACCTCTGCATCTTGGGGCTCTCCCCTTTTCCCTGACAACAGGGACAGGCACCCATGTGCCAATAAAGCCACCACTGCTGGGACCGAGATCCTGCAGAGTGTGATGCTCCTTGCAGTGACAGGGATGGCAGCTTGTTGAGTGGGGCAGAGAAACCCACAGCCCCCCAGGTGGTCCCCAGGCTGGGATTTGAGCATCCCCTCCTGCTCAGTACCACAGACCCCCACACCAGCCCCGAGGCCCTTTCCCTCTCCCCGGGGCTCTGCTCCTCCTTATCTCACTTCCGCGCACCTTCCGGCATGAGCAGGGCAAGGGTGCTTCCCCCCGATCACCGGGCCCTGAGCCCTGCTCCGACCACAGGGCTATTTCGGGATGTTTGTTTGTCCCAAAGGACCCCGCGTGCCGAGCTGGGGGGAGCGGTGAGGCCGGCCGGCGGGGAGCCCTGCAGCCAGCCAGGACCCCGGCGTGAGCCAGCGGCCTGCACGCGTGCCGTGTCCCTCCCTGCTGTGCCAAGCTGGTGGGGGACACCTGTGCCACAGCTGTGTCCACGGCCATGCCCACGCTGGCCAGGTGCCTGCACAGACTGGCCGCAGGGGCGAGCAGGCCAGTGGGCATGGGGCGTGGGGACAGGTTTGTGCCCAAGGGTTCCTTCATGCCCACGCTCCTCCCAGATGCTGCACTGCTGGCGGGGGTGCCTGAGGACATCCTCTGCTTCTCCCGCTCCTTCGAGGACCTCACCTGCTTCTGGGATGAGGAGGAGGAGGCGGCGGCAAGCGGGATGCACCACTTCTACTACTGGTACAGCAGGTAGGAGGTGGTGGGGACACAGCCCTGCCTCCCCGTTGCCGCACAGAGAGCAGCAGGGCCGGGGTGCCACAGCTCTCTGTGCCAGCCCCATGGCTCCCCGCTGCAAGGAGAAATGGTGGAGAACACACGGTAGGTAGGCAGCAGCCACCTCACCCCCTGCGGCAGGGCTGGGACCTTGGCTGTCCCTCAGTCCCATGGGGATGGTGCCCTGCAGTGGATGGGGGCACAGGGAAGGGAGACCTGGTGACACCGAGGTCTTGGTGCCATGTCCCAGGTCCCCTCTCCTCCAGCCTGGCCCCAGGTAGGAGGCGTGGGGAGTTTCAGGACCCCACTCTTCGTTCCTCAGGGATGTGCCCACAGCGTGTGCGGTCGCCACGTGGCACCATGGGGCTGGCGGGACACGGCACGCCTGCGTCTTCCCCGGGCAGGACGTGCGGCTTTTCATCCAGCTCCACCTCCGTGTCCTGGATGCCACCACCAATCAGACCAAGTACTGGCGGGAGCTCAGCGTGGACGCGGTGGGTGAGTCTCTCCCACTGGGTGATACCTCTGGGACACCGGGACAGTCCCCAGGCCTAGGTCCCCTGCCCATGCACCAGGCACAGAGGCAGCCCTGGGGAGACGCCCGGGTGTCCCTCCCTCAGCAGGACCAGGGGGTGCCCAGGCAGGGGCTGCCGCAGGAGAGCAAACGTCCTGGCACGTTCCCTGCAGGTCTCATCGCCCCGCCGGCGAACATCACGGCCCGCTGGGCTGGGGCCGCGGGGCAGCTCTGCGTGTCGTGGCAGCCGCCGCTCGCCGACTACCTGAACTTCTTCCTCTACGAGGTGCAGTGCTGCCCTGCCAGCTCCCCAGAGACGCCCTGCAGCCCCGCGTTGGACCCCAGTGGGCAGCACCCCAGTGGGCAGCACCCCGGGGACCCCTCCATCCACCCAGCAGTCAGCAGCCATGCACCCACGGCCAGGGCAGCTGCAGTCTCCCTGGGAGCGGGACAGGTACACAGGGGGGCCAGGGATGGGCAGGGGGATTTGGGGGCCGCAGCTGCTCCTCAGCCTGGCCCCTCTCCTGCAGGGGCTGGTCCAGGCCAACACCTGGGTGGTCCTCCGGGACCTGCGGCCAGGGGTGAGGTACCACATCCAGGTGCGCAGCAAGCCCGACGGCACCTCCCTGGACGGCGTCTGGGGGCCCTGGTCACAGGCAGTGGCTGCGGAGACACCCCGCTCCTCCGGTGAGCAGCCGCCCCCACCACCGGGGTGCTGGCAGGCACAGCGGGAAGGCACCCACACCCGGGGCCACGAGGGATGGGGGTCCTGGGGTAGGTGAGGTGCAGCACCCAGGTTTTAGGAGGCTAGGGGGAAGCAGCCCCCTCCCTGCCCTGGCTCTTGCCTGCCCAGGAGACATCGGGCTGTGCTGCAGCACCCCTGACCTGCGGCACGTGCGCTGCGAGTGGAGCTGGGACCCCGCAGAGCCCCGCAGCTCCCACCAGCTCTTCTACCGGCCACCTCCGAGCGAGGCCAGCACAAGGTAAGGGGCATGGTGCGCACATGGGGCTCAGGCAGAGGTGGTGGCACATCCCAGGGACCGCCAGCCCTGCTCAGTGTCCCACATTCCACACTGTGCCACCCGATGCTGTGCCCTGCCACCATTGACCTCGCACCTCCCCGCTGCCACTCGCAGCCCCTCCAACTGCGGGCAGCGCTGGCTTTCCCGGGAAACACAGAAGGAGCGAGGCAGCGCTGGCTGCGGGGACAGGGTGGCCCCAGATTGGGGCTGGCACCGGGCAAGGGAAGCGAGGCCACCACGGTGGGGCTGACTGGCTCCCCACTCCTCGTGCAGGGAAGATGCATGGCAGCTTTGTGAGGAGGAGAGCGTGGGGGCACAGGGCACCCACGCCTGCACCTTCCAGCCCAGGGCTGGCAGCGCCATCTCCGTCCTAGTGAACGTCACCCGGCCCCAAACACCGCCCGTGCTCAGCTTCTTCAAGGAGCCCTTCTGGCTGCACCAGGCCGGTGAGTCCCAGTGCCACTGTGGCCCGTGCCCCTGCCGATGCCTGGCTGGTGGGGGGACGTAGCGTCCCGTGTTCCATTCCACAGCAATGACACCTCCCCGTGCCCAACAGTGCTCACAGACGCTCCACAGCTCGTGCAGGCGACAGTGTCGCAGGGTTGGCTGAGCCTGCAGTGGCTGCCACCCCTGGAGGCGCTGGCCGAGCAGCTGGACTACCAGGTCCGCTATGCCGTGGAGAACAGTCGTGACTGGAAGGTAAGACAAGACCAGGGCTCCCCCGAGCAGCCCCACTCGCCTCCGCTGCCAGCACATGGCCCGCATGGGGTCAAGCAGGATGGACCCACGCCCCAGCACTGCCCCTCGGCCACCCTGCAGCAGCCATAGTCTCCAGCTCGGCTCTGCCCCACAGGTCCTGCAGGTCCCACGGGCAGCCAGGAAAGAAATCCTGGACCTACGGCCGGGCGCCCGCTACCATGCCCAGGTGCGGGCCCAGCCCAGCGGGCCGTGGTACCAGGGCAGCTGGAGCGCCTGGTCCAAACCTGTCGTGGTTGATGCTGCGGCCGATGCGGGTAAGGGACAGGGTAGGACCGAGGGCTGTGGCCGGAGGAGCCACACAGGAGACCGAGTGCTGGAAATGGGATGGGAAGCGCCGGGCAGAGGGTGACAGGGCTGCAAAGGGCTCAGTGGTGGCAGGTCTGCAGTTCCTCCTCTGATGCAGGCTGGATCATCCCGAGTGTTACAGTGGTGCCGCTGCTCTTCACAGGAGTGCTCCTGGGGCTGAGGTGCACCTTCCCCTCCCTCTACAGGTAAGGGCTGGGCCTAGGGCAGGTGAGGGGGTCCAGCACCAGGCCTGAGCACCCTGCCCGGGGGCGTCAGGGCACTCCGGGACTTAGGGTTTGCCTTCGACGCCCCCTTCCTCACACCCAGCAACGTGAAGCAGAAGCTCTGGCCCCCCGTCCCCGACCTGCACCGCGCCCTGGGCAGCTTCCTGCACGAAAGCGGCAAGCACGGCCAGGTGAGGGGGCCGGGCCAGGGCCCCGCGCGGCTGAGCCTCCTCGAGGGCAGCTCCAAGCGCAGCCCCCACCGCGCCCCCTCTGTGTCGCCCCCCCCAGGCCAACGCCTTCTACAAGCAGCCGCCGGAGGAGGCCGTCCTGCCCTGTCTGCTGGAGGTGCTGCCCGGCCCGCGGCGGGAGGCGGGCGCGCCGCCGCCGCCGGAGCAGGCTTCCGGCCGGCTGCCCGGCACCGACATCGCCAACCAGTCCTACCTGCTCATGAGCGGCTGGGAGCCGCGCGGGCCGCCCTGAGCTGCGTCCCCCCGCCCCGACATAAACTAGACTGGCAACCACCCGGCCTCCTCTCTCCTTCGCGGCGGCACCCCGGCCCCCTAGGGAAGCGGAGCGGCACCGCGCTCCCCCTCCGAGACCCACCACCCACCCACCCACTGACCGGCACCCTCCGCCTCCCGCTGAGGGAGAAGCCCCGCCCCGCGGCCCGGCCAATCGCGGCGCGACGCGCGGTGGTCGCCATGGCAGCGCGCGGCGGTTGGGTTTGAAGCAGCCAATGGGAGGGGCGGCCGCGCGGGGTTTAAGTGGTGCCGCCGGGTGAGGGCTGCGCGAGCGCTTCAGCCGTGGAGCGGAGGTGAGGGGCGGCGGTTGCTGCTGCCGCCGCAGGGGACCCCGAGGGTGCGCTGTGAGGTGGCCGGGGCTGTGAGGTGGCCGGGGCTGTGAGGTGGCCGGGGCTGTGAGGTGGCCGGGGCTGTGAGGTGGCCGGGGCTGTGAGGTGGCCGGGGCTGTGAGGTGACCGGGGCTGTGAGGTGACCGGGGCTGTGAGGTGACCGGGGCTGTGAGGTGACCGGGGCTGTGAGGTGACCGGGGCTGTGAGGTGACCGGGGCTGTGAGGTGACCGGGGCTGTGAGGGAGACCCTGGTGGCGAAGGGAGCCTTTGAGGCGAGGCCTTGGCGGGGGGAAAGGCCGTGGTGAAGCGGCCCTTGAGGAGCGGCGGGGGGGGCGGGGAGGGCGTGTGCTGAGGTGGCGGGGTCCCTGAGGAGCGGCGGGGGGGCGCACCCCGCGCGGTAGGGCCGTAGCCCCGCTGACACCGGCCCGTCCCGCAGCGCCATGGCGCAGTTCGTGTTCGAGGCGGACCTGCACGGGCTGCTGAAGCTGGACACGCCGATCCCCAACGCGCCGCCCGCGCGGTGGCAGCGCAAGGCCAAGGAGAGTGGCGCCCCCGGGCCCAGCCCCGCCGCCGGCTTGTCGCCCATGAAGCCTGCCAATCGCTCCTACAGCTCCAGCAAGACGCCGTCCAGGACACCCGGTGAGCGGCAACGACCGGCGGCGTAGGCTGGGGGGGGAGCGGCGCCCGGGCTGCTCGCCTGTAACTGGGGGCTCTGCCAGGCTGGCCTAGCCGGCTCGCTGGTCAGGCCCGAGGAGGTGGGCTACACTGCCTGGCTGGGGAAGCCACCCACCTTCTCCCCAGCGTGAGGTGGACAGAGCTCTGTGCACTGGGGCTAGGTGACCTGCTAGTGCCCCAGATGAGCCTTTCTGGCACAGCTGCGTTGGGATGAGTGGGGGTAGGACTGTCTGCTGACAGCTTTACATGCTGTAACAGTATTTTTGTATCCTCCTCTCATCTGTGAACTCTGGAATTATTGCGCTAGACCCAAGGAGTTGTCTCCTGGCAGTCCATAAGCAGAGCTTAGTGCAGTTACACGGGGGGGAGGGGATTGTGCAAAAATATGAGTTAATTGTGGCTGGATGACATGAGCTCTCCGAGTCCTACTTATCTGGTAGGTGTGAGGTGGAAGAGTGCTGGGTTTGCTGTCTCTTGAAAGCTCTAATACAGGCTGTTTAATAGCTCTAAGACAATATTTATCCATTTGAATGCAGGTAAATCTGGATCCAAAATCCAGAGCACCCCAACAAAGGCTGGGGGTGATCGCTACATTCCCAGCCGAAGCACCATGCAGATGGATATGGCCAATTTCCTCCTAACCAAAGAGAATGACCCTGCTGAGGAGTCCCCTACCAAGAAGGTGAGCATGTTGCTAAGTTACAATTACTACAATGATCACTACCAAACACCTAATCCTTCCTGGCCTTTTTCAGAAAAGCAAACTAAGCTCTATGAAGAGGTTGATGGCCCTAGCCATCATTACTTCCAGCTCAGGCTTCAGGAGCCTAGGATGAGGTGGAGGCCGTAGAGCCTGCAAATGGAATAGGTACACAGCTGCTATGTAGGAGCCTGAGCATAGCTGCTCTGTAGGGTTGTTTCCCTAGGCAGAGGGAAGAGCCTTGCACCTCTGCTTCTATTCACTAGCCTGTGCTGCTTCAGGTAGCAAAATTCAACTTTGGGCTAATGAGGCTTTAAAATATAGCAGGCTATGGAGACATAAAGCTGTGAGCTTATGCACAGCCAAACTGCTGGTGGTAGCTATTCTAGGACAATGTCTATATGGGGAACTATTCTGGAATGTGTATACTGTGTTCTGAAATCTGTTTATGAAGCATTTGATCCCATGTGGCTGTGGCTACCCCCACTGGCCATGAGACACCGAACTTGCCACTCTTCTGTTTGAAAATGTAAGCAGGACAGTGTGCCAATCTATGAGGAAAAACTACTTTGACCTGACTGTCTGTGGCTGACTCCCCCAGCATAGCTGTACATCTCCTGATTCTAGAAGGGGGCTTAAGTCTATGCTCTGCCAGCTGCAGTTTTAAGTGCAGCATGGACTTTGTGTTTCAAATGTATCTCACAGAGGGTGGTTTCTCTCTGCAGGAGCAACAGAAAGCCTGGGCAGTGAATCTGAATGGCTTTGATATAGAAGAGGCGAAGATCCTCCGCCTCAGTGGAAAGCCACAGAATGCTCCAGAAGGTATGATACAGAGCCTGTGGGAGTTGACTCAGCTGTAGAGATCTGGATAGGGGAACAGCAACACAGAGGCCCTATGTGTGGACATGGGAGACATCAACTGGTGTCTTCTCAGAGCTCCTGTGCACACTGGAATCTCCCTTCTTAGGGTTCCTAAGGTTGAGGGGCTGCGTGATGGCTACAGTGAATTTACAGAAGTTGAAATGACTGCCAGTTGTTCACTTGTACTGTAGGTGGCAAACCTTTCTGAGGTCTGCAAAAACTTCAAATTCTCTGCTGTGTACATTGTCACTAAATATAATGGGATACAGAAAACCAACTGCTTGTCAACTAAACTTGTTCCTGTGAACTACGGAATTGGAGCTCACCGTGGTTCAGCACGTCATACTGCCAGTGATGTTAGCACACCGTGCTCTTCTGAACTATCTCTTCTCTCAGGACTTCATTTTCACTGGAACGGATTTCTAGCTGGGTGAGCAGTGCTCAGCTGGGAGGAAACAGTAACTCAGCTTATCAAATCTGTTCCTCTGCGCAGGCTATCAGAATAACCTGAAAGTGCTCTATAGTCAGAAAATGACCCCTGGCTCCAGCAAGAAGAACGGCAGATACATTCCCTCCATGCCAGACCGGATCCTGGATGCACCAGAGATCCGCAATGACTATTGTAAGTAGGCTGCAATGTTGAGTGCTGGGCATTGAGATCATTCTGCACTGGAGTGCAGTTCCTAGGACAGTGTAACTGGGCTGTTTCAGTATATTATGCACCCAGGCTGGCATGGACCGCTTCTGGAGTGTCCTTGTGTAGCCTTATAAAAACAGTGGTCCAGAGTGCTGTGTAGGTGACTCGATGAGGGCTACCTGATCCCATAGCTGGGCATGGTGACAGCCAGAAGGCTGCCCCTTACCTGTAAGTGCATGTGCGCACACACACACACCTGGTACAGGTGGAAGATCTGGCAAAAACACTAGTGAAGGGCAGGGCTCGCCGGGTAAGCAGTGTGACTTGCATTGTTCTTCCAAATTGTAGATCTGAATCTCATTGACTGGAGCTCTCAGAACTTCCTGGCAGTGGCTCTGGACAACTCTGTCTATCTGTGGAATCATGCTTCTGGGGAGATTATCCAGCTGCTGCAGATGGAGCATCCAGATGATTACATTTCCTCAGTGTCATGGATTAAAGAAGGAAACTACCTTGCTGTTGGCACAAGTAATGCTGAGGTCCAGGTGAGTGCAGGAGTAAAACTAGAGGTGTCTAGGGATTGCTGGAGCTGTGGGGCCTTGGGACAAAGGCTTGGCTAGCACGAGAAGGATGCAGTGCACCCTGACTTGTCTTGACTGGTGTGAAGTGGAAATGTCCACAGCCAGTGACCAACTGCAGCATGCTAGGCAGTTTTTGGTTTTGGGGTTTCCTGGCACCTGGAGTTCCCTTCTGTTCTGCAGGCTATGTGATAGAAGCTATCTCTTCTCCCATACTGATGAGGTTGAATGCCAGAGCCTGTGAAGTGAGGCTCCTAGGGCAAAGCAACAGGGCTGGGTTTCCTTATCCTCTGGAGAACTTTTTGCTCTCCCTCTCTAGCTCTGGGACATACAGCAGCAGAAACGTCTCCGAAATATGACCAGCCATTCTTCCCGTGTGGGGACCCTCAGCTGGAACAGCTACATCCTCTCCAGGTAAAGTGGCAGTGTCCAGCTGCTGCAGATTCCTATCCTAGCACTGAGTGGTGCAGGTGAGGGATGGCAGAGACAAGTTTCTGTCCCAGCTTGGGAGTCTTACTTAGCCTGTTTTGTTGAGACTGCGGGGAGAAGGCCTCTCTTCTCTCTTGCCCTTTGTGCTGAAGTTGTGAAGAGCTTCTGTGGCTGCTTCACTCACACCAACAGGGTAGTGATGCTGGTAACACTGGTTTGAAACCCAGTGGCAGGTACAGCATTCTTGCAACAGGACAAAAATGGATTTTGGTGAAAATATGTGCCAGCCTGACCCTGCAAGCCTTCTCTCTGCAGTGGGGCTCGGACTGGCCACATCCACCACCACGATGTCAGAGTGGCTGAGCATCATGTGGCCACACTTGCTGGCCACACACAGGAGGTGTGTGGACTGAAGTGGTCTCTCGATGGCCGCTACCTGGCCAGTGGTGGCAATGACAACCTGGTGAACATCTGGCCATGCACCCAGGGGGACAGTGGAGACTTTACACCTGTACAGACCTTCACTCAGCACCAGGGTGCTGTCAAGGTGAGTGCAGGGCTGCTGTGGGCATGTGTCTGTGCAAGACAGACACACAGCACCGGCTGTGCACAGGTTGCTTCTTGCATGTCTTGGAATTAACCCTTTTCTTTCAGGCTGTGGCGTGGTGTCCCTGGCAGTCAAATGTTCTAGCCACCGGAGGTGGGACTAGTGATAGACATATCCGCATTTGGAATGTGTGTTCTGGCACCTGCCTCACTGCTGTTGATGCCCATTCCCAGGTGAGACATGAACATCAGCATGGAGATGGACACCTTCTGGTAGGACACCTATACAGAACTACTGCCTCCTGAGGCCCAGAGGCATGGGAAAGGAGGGGACCATGCTCATCTCTGGGTGGTAAGCATCAGCATAAGCAGCTTGTCTTACTGCATTACTGCCTTTTTCCAGGTCTGTTCTATTTTGTGGTCAACAAACTACAAGGAGTTCATTTCGGGCCATGGCTTTGCACAAAACCAGCTGGTTATATGGAAGTATCCAACGATGGCCAAGGTCACTGAGCTTCGAGGTAAGCTGGGCCCTTTGCCTGAGGAAGGGAGGGCTGCCAGAAGCTGAAGTCAGATGTAACCCTTGGTTTGAGCATACTGGTGGTCTAGCCTAAAGTATCAGTGATGCAGAATGGTGCCCAGGGGCATGCTGCTGGAAAGGGGGAGGCATTCCTGTGGGCTGCTGAAGAAACACTGTTTCCCCAAATGCACACCCAGGGTGTGAATTCATACTGCTTGTTCAGCATGGTGTGGGACAGCTATGCAAACTGGTGGGGCTCATGGGGCATGTGGGAATAAATGTGACCTCTGGCAGAACCAGAGGATCTGGGGCAAGTGGTGATCAGCCCAGCCCTGACTGCACACCTCCTCCTCAGGTCACACTGCCAGAGTCTTGAACCTGACTATGAGTCCCGATGGTGCAACAGTGGCCTCAGCAGCTGCTGATGAAACACTGCGGCTATGGCGCTGTTTTGAGTTGGACCCCATAAAGAAGAAGGAGAAGGAAAAGGCAAACAGTGCCAAAAGTAGCATTATTCACCAGGGCATTCGATGAGTGCACAGGGCTGTTGTGGGGAGTGGGGAGTATTTAGCTTGCACACTGTACAGTATTTTAAAAGTTAATAAAATGCTTTGACTCTTTATGGAGCCTGATGGAAGAAAAGGCTGTGGCTCACAGAACCAAGTGATTCCCTGAGGTTTAGGATCTGGGCAGGTGGTGGAGCTCTTGTTCTTTAGGGCCAGTTTCAGGCACCCTGAGCCTAGCACAGCCCTGAAGTCCTAGGAGGGAAGGATGCTGTGCCACAGCTGTACTTCTGTATCTATCCCAGCTAAGGCATGTATGTATGTTACCTGCCACATACTCATGCTGACCACAAGCACAGCAGCTCTACCACAGGGAAGCTGGAGCTCCCTAGACCTCCATCTGTGATCAGAGTGTGTCAAAACTAATACTTCCCAGTGTTCCTGCCCTGCAGTGGGGCTAGGAGGAAGTAGCCCTGACTTGCCTCAGCTTCCACAGACCAGTGAACCAGCTCTGAACTGGCCTCTGCCTAAGGGAGGGCCCTTTGCCCAGCTGCTGCCTGCTTTGGTGCCAGCTGTGGTAGGGAAGAGCAAGGCTCAAGCACAGTAGGTCTGTGTCCCCAGCTTCTGTTGTGTCCTGGCTCTGGCCTAGGTGGGACTTAACATGCCTCTGCAGGCACCTACCAGCACTGATTACCTGTGCTGGAGCAGTCTGGGGACTTGTTCTTGGTAATCAGGGCTGTAGCATCACCTGCACACAGCACTTAGTCTTGTTTTGCTACACTGATGGTGCCTGCTCCTATGGTGCTAGGGTAGAACAGCTACTCTTGCAGTGAGTTCAGTATTAAAGTTAGGAGCCAAATGCTGTTGGAAAAAAGGGGGGGAGTACAGGCTGGAAACATACAACGACAGCTGTTAAGGCCAGAAAGGGGCTGGCAAAAGCCTGAAGCTTGATGCAAAACAAGACTCTCACACTTTCACAGCCATGCTTGGACATCACACAAGAAGCACCCAAGGCACCATTAACTCAGTACATGGCCCTTAGTCACATGTTCTTCCAGCAGCCCTCATCTGTCCTTGCTTCCTGCTGAGGGGAAGCCCTGGCTTTAAGCTGAGGTTCCATGCAGGGAAAGAGGCAGCAGGGTTCAGCTGACATTTGGTAGAGCATGACTCCACAGCACTTAGAAGAATATGTTTTTTCCAGGCTCAGTTACGCTGGTACAAGTTGCAGGGATCATATTTAAGCCTTCACCTAAGCAAGAGCCAGCAGCTATGCTGCTCTGCTGGCTGGAGCCATGGTGTCTGAGGGTGTGGGGCTGCACCAGACCCACCGAGCCTGTCCTTCAGCTGCACCAGTGCAGCCAGGGACACTGCACAGCTGATTAGCACCCTGGCCTCTGCAAAGCAGCTCAACAAAACCTGTGCCGCTCCTCAGCCTGTGATTAGTTGAGGGTGGATTATTATTAACTGTTTTCACCTTCCTCTCAGCATTGTACCATGCTGTACCTGGCGCCAGGCTCCTGCTCCACCTCCTGAGCTTTAACAGAGCCAGAGCCTTCAAAGGTGGGTGCTGTGCTGAGGCCAGCCAACATGCACCATCCTCCCTTCTGCCCCCCCCCCCCCCCCCCCCCCCCCAAAAGTAGCCAGGCCCAGCAGTTTCCCAGCAGTTGTGTTGCTACATCCCCATTTGGCCACCTGGGTCAGAGCTGGGGAGATCTAAAGGAGGAAGAAGCTCTCATTCCACTTCAGAAGCAAAGGGAGCAGAGGGGGAAGGGGGCAGGAACAGAGATGCAAGATTAGCCTCTCCCCCAGAATTGTGTTGCTGTTGTCTGAGCCCTGCCCCACCCCCCTGAAGTTCAATGCTGGGAGTTAGCACAGGTTTGCCCTGTGGCCCGACACCAGATTAAGGCTTCCAGCAGTTCCTGACCCTGGAAGAAAAGCTTTATGTGGGTGAAAGCTGGTATATTTTCTAAACCTCTGTGTAATAGCAGAACCTGCCTTGCCTCTGACCTTAGCACATACCCAGCCGCAGCAACTGTGCATTACACACCCCTTGAAAGTCCTCTGAGCATTACTAGAAGGCGAGGGTATTGCATTGCCTTCACTTCGGCTCCATACTGGTCCTACTGCCCTGGAGCAGAGGAAGGAGCCAGGCGCTGATCCACCAGGCCCAGGAAACACTGCCATATAAGGTGTGACTTCAGTTCAGAGCAGCGTATGAATTACCAACCCATAGAAAGATCACAGCTAACAGGAACAATTGGAGGAAGGGAGAGCAGAGCATGCATAGGGAACAGCCTCTTTTAAAATGCCAAGCATAAGTATTGTTACTATTTTGGGCAAGAGCAAAGACAGGGTTGTCTTTAGCAAGAACCAGCTATTAGGGGGGACAGGGAGGCTAGACAGAAAAGCTCCCTCTCAGCTGGCCTGATACCTACAGCTCCTGAAGTGTTAAATTCTGAGCTCTGAAATAATGTTACATGCCACTTCAGCAGGGACCAGAACAAGCTCTTGCCAGTCCCTGCTCACAGAGGTAGCAACAACTATGAGAACACTACCCAGTGCAGCGGCCAGATCCCAGCTTAAGGCTTCATACATACAAGGGCAGAGAGCCCTGGAAGTGGGGGTGATGCCCATGTGCAGTTGGGCATAGTGGTCACACCAGGTCACTCAAAGGGGTTTTTCTACATTTCAGAGCATGGCCTTGAGGTGTTCAGCAGCTCAGGAAAGCTTTCCCTTATACCAAGCCCTGCTCTAGGGCTTTGGCTGGACATTCACTAGAGCCCTCCCACACCCCAACCAAGCCTACAGTGAAACTCTGCTTCTGGAGATCTGCTGGTCTAATACATTCCTCCCTGGCTACTCACCCCTCTTTCCAGGCTTGAGTCAGCACCTAGGCTGGCTTCTCCACTCAGGAGGGCCCCAGTTACAAGGCACTAGGGAAGGCAGCACTGCACCCCAACAGCACTGAAGTCAGACTGCCTCCAGTGGCGGGGACACAGCCCAGCCAGGCAAGACACACTTCTGCAGTAAGAACAAGGCAGCAGCACCGTAAACCTCCCTCTGACCAACCTGAGCTACATTCTGCACAGATCCATACTGCAGGGCCATTCACAGGTGGCAGCAGCTTTGGCTTCAGCAGATGCAGAAAGCAGACTGCTGTTTCCCCATCACCTGGGTTTCCAGGGTCCCTATTCCCTACTCTGCCACACCTCAGCTCCCCAGGATTTCTGAAAAGCAGCAGCTCCTCCTGGGCTGCTGGCCTGGGCCCCAGCCCACACCCACGCTCCACCCCAGCCATTCTTTCACAGGGTGGAACCACTTTCACAACAGGAGCCTTGACACATTTCCTGCCCCAGCACTGCTCTACCAAAACTCTTGGAAATAATCTGCCATCTGCTTCATCAGCACACTGCTATCACCCTCTCCCCCCCAACACACAAACCTGCTATGCCAGCTGCTTCTCCCAGTCCTGCCTCCAACCACACTGGGCAGGAACAGGCATCTGGAACAGCTTCTGAGCACAGCAAGTCAGGGAAACAAGAGGGCAGAGCCATTTCTCCTTCTGTCTGTTTATTTGTGATAGAAGAGCAGCCCAATCTGACAGGGCCTGGCTCCTTCACCTCATCCTCAAGGCCATCAGTATGGTTTTGGTTACAGCCAGAGCAGGTGATGGGCACCAGGCCCAGGGGAGCTGCTACGCTGCCCTGCTGAGGACAGAGTACACCTTCACCCAGGCCCAGTCAGATCCACAGAGGCAAGAAGTGCTCCCTGTTACACCACAGCAGGGCACACTACAACAATCCTCTGCTGTGCTCACACTGGGCCAATGCAGGGCTGGTCCCAAGCAGGAGAGTCCAGGAGCGGATTCTAAGGGCAATTATTGCTCAAGTCTTGAGTTTGCAGGAATGGAAGTGGTCCAAGACAAGGCTGAGCTTGGCCTCCCCCACTCTACAGCAAGGCACCAGCTGCCATACAGGATCAGGTCAGTGTGGCTAAAGCACACACTGAGCACCCAGCCCAGGCACAGAAAGGCAAGGCAACCTGGGCTCACCATGTGGGTGAGGCATTTCAGGCTGTCCCAACCCCTGCTACATACTAGGCACAGGGCATGTGTACTGTACTGGGCAGGTCTGGGCCCTCAAGCCCCATACGCACTGCCCCTACATTCTCCACAGCCACACCTGAGCACGTATGCCAGGGCAGGACTGTCCACCTGGACACATGGGGACCAGAAGGGACATGTAGCACTGTGGCATGGAACAAAGTGGCACAAGGCATGGTAGAGCAGGAGCACTCACACTTGAGCTGGCAGCAGCAAGCAGCCAGGGTCAAGTCTGTTCAACCACAGGCTCTGATGAGACAGGGGAGAGGAGAGGGCACCAGGACAGGGACCAGTCTCTTCTTTTGGTCCTACTCAGAAGGAAATGGCCCCCAGGCAGAAGGGCCAGATGTAGGCACTTGGGGGAAGTTCCTTTGGAAACACTGGAATGGGACTGCAGCCCCACAGCTGTGATGCAGGCAGCTGCCTCTCTGCTCAGCAACACTGAAAAACAGCATGAGCCCTCCCAGGAGCCGGAGAAGTTGCCCACAGCTGCTCAGAGCAGAGGGGCTGGGCATGCAGACAGAGGACAGCAGGGCTGGGCACAGGGGTACAACAGTCTGTAGGCACTTGACTTGGCTAGTGGCACCCAGGAGCAGAGGAACAGGTCCCAGCTGCCTCTGCCCCGGGGCTCTCATTGGCTCTGGGAGGGCCTTGCCCTCTAGTTGGCTTTGACCTTGCCGTTGGTGACAGTGCCATTCTCATGGATGCTGCTACCATTGTGCTGGGCTGCTTGCTGAGCCACCCTGGGCAACCGTTTGCCCTTGGTGTAGGACTGGTACCAAAAGTTGGAGAATAGGATGAAGAAGATGGTCCCATAAATCCAGATGAGGTGGATGAAGATGGGGAACTGGTACTGGCAGCTGGGCATGAAGTAATACTGGGAGATGTGGACGGAGACAATCACGAACTGTGCCTGGGAGCAAGGCAGAGCAGGAACAAGTTATTCGTGGGAACAGGGCCAGGGATCCCACTAGAGACCTTTCTAAATGAAACCAACAGGCTCCTTCCCCACTCTGAAGCAGAAGTCCTTATGGCGAGGCAGACAGCAGCAGCGGGAAGAGGCAGACGTGAGTCTCAAGGCAGCATGTGCCCCTCACCCTCCCATCATGGCTGCAGCCCAGGGGCAGCAGGCTGAGCAGCACCCACACCCTAACCAGGCTGTGTAGGGCTATCAGAGGCCCACAACGCACCAGAGCTGCTAGAAACCCAGAGAGAGAGGCTACAGAAGGGACAGCTACAGCTGCTGGCTGCACCTTTCACAGGTACAAGGGCTGGCCTGCCCTTCACATCAGAGGCTGAGGGCACACGCTCGGCTCCATAGCAGACTCACCAGCTGGATGGCTGTGATGTGCTTCTTCCACCAAAGGTACTTCTGAAAGGCAGGTCCTGCTGCTGAGAGCCCATAGTAGAAGTACATGACAACATGCACCATGGAATTGATCATGGCATGGAATGAGCCCATTCCCCCTGTTAAAACAGATTTTCATTAGCATAAGTCAGTCCTCTGCAGAAATCAGAGCTACAAAGAGTTCTTAAGATCCCAGCAGAGCTAAAAAGCTCTTCTCAGCACGTTGGGGCTAACCCTACCCTTTCCCCAAGCTGTGCACCCACACAGTTTCCATCTTACCTGGACCAAACTTTGCTCCCCACCACCAGCTCCAAGGCAGAACTGAGTGGTGGAAGAGGTGCAGAAATGTGACCTGTTCATTCTTCTTCCGCAGGACAAAGATAACCTGCAATGAAAATCCAGCAGCATCAAGGACCCAGGAGCAGCTAGACCAGGTTGGGCCACTAATTCAGTGTCTGATCTCAGTGATGCTTTACCACCCCCACTCCAAGCTCACTGCTGCCACACATTAGGTCACCCCACCGTTTCTAGAGCTATACTCTGCAATAGCCCAGAGCAGCCTCCTTGGCAGTGATGCCAGACAGAAGCACTACCATGTCAGACTGGAAGGGCTGAGGAAAGCATCTAGCCCAAGTACAGCGGGTCCCCACTCCCTGCCCAGCAAGCAGTGACAAGGCTTCCTCAGTAACTCACTCACCGTGTCCGTCAGTTCGATGAACTTGGAGAAGACAAAGAGCCAAGCAACACTGACCATCTGTAACAGAGGAGGTTAACATCAGAGACCCACCTCAGCCCAAACATATCCAGTGACCAAGGGTCTCAATACAGTAACCCTGGGGTAAAACCAAGAGCCAGGAGCTGTAAGTCATCTGCCTCAGGAGAAGCAGGTAGCTGTGACCTTGCTGGCTAGAAGTGCTAAAGGCCATCCCCATTTATCAGGAAAGGGACGAGAACTCACCCTGAGGGCCTTGGGGTCCTGTGAGAAGTCCACAGGGTCACATCGCCAGGTGTACCCAGTAAGCCACCCTGCCATCAGGAACTGCAACAAGAGCATCATCAGGGTGAGGCCCAACATCACCCACTTGCACCTCCCAAGCCCTGCACAGAAGGGCAGGCAACAGCCTGCAGAAGGGCTACCCAACATCCACACACTCTGCATGCACTGCTTTATGTATGCCGGACTACTCCTGCCTGCAACTCACCTCATAGACTATGTAAAGTGAGAGTCCCACCAGAAAGAAGTTGTACAGCACCATGAACTTCTTCAGGTTTAAAGGCTTCCTGTTGGCCATTAGCCGGGGCCCCAAGGATAGTACAAAGTAGACATATGCCAGAAGGATGCCCATCACAAGGAACGGGGACTGCATCAGGGGATAATCAGCAATGCGGGGGTCTGCAGAGAGAGCCACAGTGCAGAGCAGTTAGCATCCTCACCCCAATCTGCTGCTAGCAATGCTACTGCCAGAATGGAAGCAAGGACATGGCAATCCTGGTCTCCTAGGACAGGAGTGCAGGTAGGGGAGGCAGTCTGGGAGCAGAGGCTGATGAAGGCAGCCAAACTCAGTAAGGTACAGCCTGAAGCCACACTGCAGGGCAGCCTGGAGATCTTCTGCCCCAGAAGGCACGAGTGCCCCAAAAGGGCCTGCACAAGCACTGAGGCAAGACAGCCTCATAACATGCAGTCCAAAAACCCAGATCTGCATCTATGTCAGGACAGATGCAGGATACAGCTAGACTAAGACTGCTTCAGGGATGGCAGACCATCCCCTGTGCCTGGGGCAGTAAGGCATGTGGTGCTACCTGCTTTGAAGTGAGGCAGGGCCAAACACTCACCTGCTTTCTTCATGAAGTCTTGATACATGGTCACAATCCCCTCCATGGTGGTGGCAGTATCTCTGTGGAGAGAGGAAGGGCAGGTCAGGCAGCTGTTTTCACAGAACAGCCTGCAGATCAGCAAATTTCAATCAGAGCTTCAGAGGTATAGCTGTGTATCTGGCCAGCACTGCTCTCAGCTGATCACACATCAGCATCCACTTCCCAACTGAGCTACACGCTCCCTACTTCTCACTGGGCCTGGCCCTGTCTCCCCAGCTCTGCTGGGAACCCTGTACCTATCCGCAGCAGTCCTTCCAAGGCAGGATCCTAGTATTTTAAGCCATCTAGGAAAGCTTCCAACCTCAGCACTGTATCTCCAGCCTCAGTCTCACTCCTGCTGTACAGGCTCAAGCATTATCATCCACAACCACCACGATGTTGCCACCAGCCTTGCCAGCCATACCCACACCCATCACACTGCTCTGCCTGACTCTGTTGCAAGGTCTCCAAGGGAGATGCAAAGCTGGGCCACGCTCCACAGAGCGGTGCTTTTATGATCAGCTTTGGGATCCTGCCCACTGATCCCCACCAGAGAAGCAACACAACATCACTGGCAAGCCCACTGCATGAGGATGGAAAGCCACTGGTGCAGAAACAAACAGTTTCTGGTTTCACGTTCTTGCACAAAACCCTCCTGACAAGAGCTACCACCCCATAACCCAGCTCCTCAAAGGCTAGGTGCATCCTACTTGGCAAAGACATTTCCACTCCCCTTCCAGACAGGGGACAGTATCCCCAGGTAGCAGAGAAAGCTGCAGAAGGACTGGCACTCCCCATGAGCACACACCAGACAGTGATCCAGACAGACACCCTCCAGAAAAGCAGGAAGGGCCAATGCTCTTGCTCCTGCAGGCAAGTTTGAAACACCCTCACCCAGCCCCCTGTGCTCCCCAACCTCTCCCCAGCCCACAAGACACCAGAGCAGCAGGAAGGGAGGCAGAGCACAGGCCCAGCCTCACCTGACTCACCCACCTGCAAGGGAGGCATTCCCCAGAGCTGCTACCAGACACTCCACCTACCCCTTCCTCCATGAAGGTGCACATGAATCACTGCCCACACACAGGCCTAGGGAAACAGGTCCCCAAGCCCAGTCTCCCCAGGAGGTTTATTGCTGCTGCCACCAGGAAGCACGCAGCGTCTCCCAGACCAGCAGCTAGGAGGCTGAAGCCAGAGAAAACTTCTTCCCAATAAGGTCCCAGGTAGGAGTATCCAGCAGCCACTGACACCTCAAGCCCTCACCAGGCAGCACCAGCATCACTCCTTCAGTTTCCCTGCAAGAGAAGAGCTCAAAGTCCTCTTTGCTCTAGCTGGGACCCAGCCAGGACAGCAGCAGACACTACCTGTGCTACCAAGCACCTACATGACAAGTTTTGTTGGCAGTAATCTTCACAGGGGACTGGCACACACCATTCTGGCTCACTGTTCTCTGCAAATCACTTCAGTGCAGTAAGTGCTGGCTCTGTGCCTGCCCAGTCATACTCTGCTCCTCCAAACTGGGGAGTGCCACCACCCAACCTCTGTGCAGCAGCAGTGGGGTAGAACAGGTCTCCCCCTTCACCTTCACCCCAAGAAGTACCATTCCTCCAAGCAAGGCTCCAGAGCAGCCTGCACAGCCATACACCCCAAAGACAGAGCCCGCAAAGTTTTGCTGTGCTTCAGAAAGCACAGAAAGTGGTTCCTCATGCCACCTTGGAGGCAGCTGCAGCATTAGGGAAAAGCCCACTCAGGATTGATCCCCACACCACAGGAGCACCAGCAGCAGAACAGATGTTCACCATCCCAACCCAAAGTTTCAAGATGTTTAATAGCAAGCAATACTCACTTGTACTATCACCACAATACAAATAACATTTAAGGTCCTGGGCACTGCCAAGATCATCCAGTCTCCACATGTAGCAGATGCCAAAAAGTGTAGCAGGAACTACAGCATCCTTGAGAGCCACTCAAGGCTCCAGCTGTGGGAAATGCAGTAAGTACAAGTCCTGAATGCTGTTGAGTTTTCTGTTGCTTTAAAGGCTAAGAGCAAGCTCCAAACTTGTCTGTCTAGTTTCAGCTTTCAACCACTACATCCAGCTACACCTTTATTTGCTAGATTGAGGAGCCCTCAAGAGTTAGTTCCCAGTGCAGGTACCTGACTATTCAAGCTCTGTGTTTATCTTATCAAGCTGAATGAGTCAGCCTTACTACAGGTCCGGGGCAAAAACAAAACCCCGCAGAATACTTGCCTATTTTGGGAAGGCTAGGATGAGAAGATACTATCAGTTGCCCACAAGCTCAGAGCTGTGTATCACACTGCAGGGAAACACTTGAGCTCAGGCACTACAGATCACTTTGCTGACCCTGATGCTAGCAAGGCTCTAGCACTCCAGCTCCAACAATTTGGGGTCCCAGGACACTGGAGACTTGGGTGAGAAGACTCACACTGCAGTTTTGCCCTGACAGACTTGCTGAAAGCTGTACAGAGCACGTAGCAGACAAGGTTCATCATGGAAGCAGCCCTGAACCCAGACAACTATCCCCCCAAGCAGTGGGAAGCCCACTTCAGCCCAGCGCTAGCATAGAAGTCCCCACCAGCAGAAACAGCAACGTGTGTCTCACTGCTGTGTCTTGTGAAGCACCTCCAGCACTCCTACAGCCATACATACCACAAGGAGATGGGAGGCATTAGACTTGTACTGAACATGGGCTCTGGGCAAGCACCAGGACCTCTACCTGGGCAGAACTAGCAGGATTATGCTATAGGCCCTCATGAAAAGGACCTGGGCATTTTCCACAGCTTCCCTAGGCAGAGCAACATCCTGCTGCATTTGGCTAACAGAGCAACCACATCTCCAGGGAAGCCCTGAGGTCTTCAAGTCTTTGCAAGATGTGGTATCCATGCTGGAATGCCACACAGTCCTGCATTAGAGGTTGAAGTGTTCCTTGCTCAGTGAGCAGATGCAGGTATGTCTCACCATCCTGCCTCCCAAGGGGCAGTCACTGGCCTTGGGGTGTTGGCAGTTGAGCTGCAAAGGGGAAGTTGCAGAGCAAGCCCAAGCATTACCTTCACTAAGCAGGAGAATGCAAAGTGCACTGGCCTGCCAAGCTCCATGCCAGACTTTCCTCTGCAAGCAGGGGTTTTCCAGGACAGAACAGCAGGTGTCCAGGAACCTGGACTCACCTCTGCCATTTCCTCTGGGCATAACACCAGCACTTGATGTCCCTCTGCACTTTGAGAGGTTCACCAGCCAGCCAGGCATCTGCTCTTACTGCCCTCCATGCTACACTGCATCGCACACTGCAGGCATTCACATCTCAGTGGTTGGCATCTGTCCTCTCTGCAAAGGGGAGACACTTACTCTCCTTTGATGACTCCTGGGTTCTGATCCTCTTGGGCAAGGAGCTGGGAGGAGACAGGGAGCCCAAAGCTGAGCCTTGCACAGCTGAAGAGAAATCACACAAACAGGTCCAAGCACTCCAAAACACCAGGAACCCTTGCGGCCCAAATATACCCTGCACAATACCTAGAGACCTTGCAACACATCTCCTTCTACCTCTCACCAACAGTGTCACTTCCCTATCTCAGCGAGAAAGTTCTCACTATTTGCAAACCAGATTATCAGACCTCATTCCGTCCCAGTAACCAACATCAAGGATTAGATACATGCTTAGGCCAAGCAATGTGTACACTGCATATTTCTAACAAGCTATACAGCTAATTAGTGCAACATCAGCAAGAACAGCAAGGCCCTTTATAACCAGCCCCAGCAGCCCAAGAGCAGTCAGACCACAGCATTGTAAACCATGACACCGACAGAGCACAGGGTGCATCTCTCCCCACACAGCAGCCATCTGCAAGCAACAGATGGCCCCTGCCACCCAACACCCAGCACTCCTACCCCATCAGCAATCAAGTCAGAAATCAGTCCTGTAATAAGTGTGAAAGCAAGCCACCCTAATCTTCCCTCTAGTTTAATTACAAGCAGCACCAATACACTGTGGTAGGTGGCCACAGAGCTGTCACCCCAGGGAGAGCTGGCACAGGGCTCTTGCTGAACTGGCTAAAGCAGGCCTGGCCCCTGTGGGGCTCCCAGGGGAGTAGCAACCCTCAAAGGTCAGGAGATAACCAGTTGGCCAGATATCAAACCAATCCACATCCCTGACCTACAAGCTGGCAGCAAGGCCTGCTGCCTGATGCAGCTCTGAGCTCCACAGCTTCTCCGAAAGAGAGATTTTCCCTCTCTGATTCCCACCGCAGCACTCATACAGCTTCCTGGAATTCTAGAAAGTCACCGGGGGGTCCAGCAAGGCCTGCACACAGCTCCATGTGCCCAGGGAGTATGTTTCCCAACAAAGCTGTGGGGATCTGTGGTTCAGAAGCATCTGTGAGGAGCAGCTGTCACTGCAGAAGAGCGGGGCTGACCAACCCAGTGTCTGGTGGCCCCAGGCCAGGCACTGACAGGGCTGTGCACAGCACGCAGAGGCTGGCACCTCAAACCATCACAAAGAGCTGTTAGTCGCAGCTTCAGAAGCAGCTTTCCTGAGCTTATGCACAAGTGAATCCAGCATGATGATGAACACAAAACCATGTCTGCCCTGAACAGCACACAAGCAGCAAAGCAGTTAGAGCAAGACAAAAGGGAGAAGGAGCCCAGCCAGCCCTAAGCAGCAAAACTCTGTTCAACCCTAAGACTAAAGTTTACAACAAAGCAAAGAAAACTGGATTTAGATCTCTTCCTTCTGCCACTCTGTGACCAGGTGAAAGAGAGCGGCCTGTAACCAGACAGTGCACACTTGCTTCACACACAGCATTTTGGAACACCAGCTTAAGCACATGCAGCAGACAGCACTCAACAAGAAAGCATATTCAAGTACACCTGCATTACTGCTAATGATTTCAGCCATCTGACTGAAGACTCAGTTAAGGCGCTGTTGTCCACATGCTACTAAAGTCATGTTTTTCCCCTCAAGAAAAGTCACAGGCAAAAGAGATGCCTGTGCACCAGCACACAGGGCACAGAAGACCAGTCTGGCAGGAGATGGAAAGCCCTACCAGGAGATTAGGGCAGAACAGGGAAGTAGCTCTCCTAGCCTGGCACCTTGGCTCTGAGGATTTGGGACAGACTCTGATCAGAGTTTGAAGACAACCAGTCCCAGAACTCCCAGCCCACAACACAACTACAAAGTCTACAAGGAAACTTCATGCTAACACCACCAGATAAATTTTCCTACTTGAATCATATCCATTTGTCACTTCCTCTGCTCAGCTACTTCATGCCATGTGTCAAAGGACATGGCTAACAGCCTAGTACCATATGCTCTGCATCAGCATACTCTGGAGTTAGTATAAAAGGACTGTCCTCACAGAGAAGGGATACAAACTCTCAAACCCTTGATATGCAACAGCTCTTGCAAGAGCTGCTGTTGCAGGAGTCACACTGGCTGGCTGCTGCTCCTGGCACACCAGCTCCAAGAGGCAGGAAGTAACCTGTCTGAAGCTGAGGAGTTTCCTCATCTTCACCAACTGTGTGTTAATACCTTACCACTATCCCACATGGTGGCTGTAAAACCCTGAGGCCTTTGGATAACATCCTACAAACAGAGATTAAGCTTTCCCCTTCCCATGCTTGCTGGAAGCAGGGAGAGCAAGAAAAGACTCCCAGATTAGCAGGGAAACTCTGAAGAGCCTGGGCAGTCAGCATGGCACCTCACAAGCTTTCAGGGGAAGGAGCAAGCCCATTGCAATAGGGTACTGGTAACCTTGTACAAAAACCAAGGCAGATAATCAGGCTTCAAGGTCCCACAAGAACATACATTGCAGTAAAAAGGTCTATATGCACAGCACTTTTTCCAGGGACAGCACCTCCAAGCTGCCTAGGCAAGCTGTTAGAGTAGGTTTACTCCTTATCACATCCAACACTGGTGGCTGCATATTCAGGGAGCTGATATCGGTACAGATGAGAACAGTCAGGGAAAAGGCAACATTGGGCAAAAAGTCTTACATAGCGAGGAACAAAGGAGTAAGGAAGTGAAGGAAGAAAAGAAACAGAAGGTGAGACACCTACAGAAATCAAAAATAAGGTACTCCCAAGCTAACCACACCGAGCTGTGTCTAATCCCTTGTGCAGCACCAGGTAGAGGGAAGGAGAGGGAGCTGGCTGGGCTCCATCTCTGAAGTGATGGTACCCGGCAGCCCCTCAGGATGTACAGGAGAGCACACTCAGGAGGGACAGAACTAGGCAGGCACAGGAGGGCAAGGCTAGACCAAGCAAGGCCAATTCCTGACACCTGCTTCTAGAAATAAGTCAAGCCTTCGAAAGCCCTCCAGCAGAGAAACACAGAGCAGCTCTATCTGGAGGTGGGACAGACTGTACCAGAGCATTCATCTCTGTGGTTTTAATCATTATTCAAGTGCCTCACTACAAGGCTTCACCTCTGTTCCAACAGCAGTGTCTGTAATCATTACACAGTAATGATTACTGTGCTCTGTCCCATCCAGGCCTGTGCATTAATTGGACAGGCACACCAAGACATGATGGATATTAAAAGTCTACAAAGCAAGATGCAGAAAGGAAGGACTCGAAAATCCCTCCAATAGCTCTATCTGGACCATTCAAGAAGCCCAAGTGTGAACCCAGAGCCACTTTTCACAGAGACAAGGGGTCACTGCCTGGAACTTGCCATGACATAAGCTTTGGGCCCCCCTACCCTCTGCACCAGGAAGGCAGTGCAGTCACACAACCACCTTCTAACAAGAGAAAGGGATGTCTTCTGACAATACTAGAGATGTCAGACTCCAACAGCACAGTATATGCACCACAGATCCCAGTAGGCATAAGGCTTAATAGATACCACCTTTAAAAGTGTTCACAGCCCACCACACACAGAAAAGAAGCATGAGGCCTGATTATCTCCATGCAGGTGTATGTGGACCACACTCAAAGCCAGGGCTGTTGTTCCTACTGCTGCTTCTGTC